CGGCAGCTGCGGCTCCCCAGAGGCGCCAGCAGCCCCGCCCCATCCGTGGACGCCGATCACCGCCCTCCGCCTGACTGAGAGACGCCCAAGCCAACAGAACCGCAGTGTCCCGCCCCGCTGCGTCTCCACCAGCCAATGGCGCCTCTGCAGTCCGGCTGGAGCGCGCTCCCACCCTCAGCTCGCCTTCCGGCTAATCCGCGCGCGGGCATGGGCGGGAGCGGCAGGGCGGCGCGACCAATGGGAAGGCAAGGGCGGTTGCTAAGGGGCTGCGCGTAGCGGGGCCGGTGCAGACGGGTGGGAGCGGCGGCGGGAGCTGCCGGCAGTGGCGCGGCCGAGCCGGGCCGGGCCTGCAGGTGAGGTCGGCGGTGCTCCAGCAGCCCCTTCCCCGCGGCGGCTGGGCTTCCCTCCCTCTCAGCATTGCGGGGCCTGAAGGGGCGCGGGGCGTCCGGTCGCCGCCCCGCGGCCGGGTCTGTCAGGTGCTGAGCGGTCAGCGGCACTCCTCTCGCTCCGGCCTCAGGCTCCCCGTGCCCGCCTAGCCGCCTTCTTTCTGTTTGTTTTCTGCAGCAGGCTTGCCTTATGTCTTTATTTCCTGGGGTGGAGGTGGGAGTAGCCCTGCGGTGGGGTTCAGCCTGGCCTGGCTGTGGTGACCTGTGGTCTGGTCGCCTCCTGGTGCCTCTCCTTTCGGTTCTTGCCGGGGTTGGAAGGTCTGTGCAGCTGGTGGTGTGGTGGTGGCCTTTCCCCGTTGCCTTGTGGAGGTGTGAGGTTGTGCAGGGCAAGAAAAGCAGTGGTGTGAGCAGCCTGTGCTGACAGGGAGTGACGGCTGAGGTGGGGAGCAATCCTATGCTGCTGGGGAGCTGAGTGTGGAGCAGAGGTCCTGAGGAGATGACACTTGTGTGAGTTAGAGCCAGGTGAGTTCTGGCTGATGTCTGTCAGGTCACACTGCTTCCCCTAAATGAGGCTTTTCTCCTCTGTTACTCATGCTCCTAGGTCCTGACACTGCTACTAGCATTTTGCAACAACTTTAGACTTCCTTTTGTTGATGTGTACTGTATACCTGCTTGTTAGCCTGTGTGACAGGACTCTATCCACTCCATTCTGCTACTTCATGTATAACTCGTGATTTACTCCAGCACAGGATGGGTATATATATCTGTCACAGTTGACGTATTCCAGCTGGTGAAATCCCTCACCTGACACTAACTTTTTAAGAGGTATGTTAGCAGCAGCTTTATTGCTACAGTTGTGGTTGGAGGGACTGCATTCTGTAGTTGTGCTCTCATGCAGGTCTCTTCAGAGAATTCATAACGGCTTCCTCTTATTGTGGAGGCACAATTGTCACTGGTGTGGTAAGTACTAAAGATTCCTGCCTTCCTCTTGCAGATTGCTGTTTGGCTTCCACAGCACTGGTGCCTCCTTCTGTAACAAACGTTTGTGGCTTATTAATTAGCTAACTGGTACAGTGTGTTCAGCTTACATGCCTTGTTTATCAATGATTATCATGCTCAGCCATGTTTGTAATATTGCTTAGGCTGACATGTTCTAGTCCCCACTGATATGGTGTTTGTAGAACACACAGTTCAGCTGTTTGCATTTGTGATATCTCATTTTCAGACCTTCATTGATAATGGTAATTTCCTGTGCAGGGTCTTTTGTTATTGACAACTAGTCTTTGGTTGTTCTGTTATTATCTTTTCTTGGTTCATGTACTCACCTTTCCTCGATGCTTGCTTAGTTCTCATATTGCAAGATAAGTTTCAATAAATTCTCTTGTTTCTTCTTGGATCAGTGGACATGCAGCCTTTCTTATTAGTCTAGCCATCATTTATTTTGGTGTCAAAGTCAAGAGAACAGGAAGAATTTTTAAAAAAGAACTAAGAGCTAATGTTTGTGTTCTTCTATTCTCCTGCCTTAGTCTTAAAAATAGTTGTATTTCAGCTTTTGCATGTGAGGTCCCCTGTGTTACTGAGTGAATTAGCTGCATAGAGGATGAGGCTGACCTAAGATTGTGCTAGACTGTCTTTTCTAGGGGTGGAAAAGATGTGGAGGTTGGGGATAAAACCTTCCATCTTGCAAAACTGTTTGTGAAGAAGTTAAACTTAAAAACTAATTTGTTCTACTCTTCTTGCAAAAGCTATATTTTTCTATTCAGGGAATGAATAGCAGCTGAGTCTCTTAGAGTTTCATAAAGCTGCATTATTAAATTTGTCATGTGAAAACGCAGAGATTAACATGCTGAAATAGTCACTGTTCTGGGATGTGGTATTGGGCAGGAAAGGTGGCACAATAACATCATTTGTCCTTGACACAGTCATATGGAGAGGTTATCCAAATCTTCTAAGTTCCAACTGTATCTTTAGATGTAATTTGATGTACTATAGAAAATGGTGGCTTTAGAGCAGTGATTCAAACCCTCTCTAGTTGTAGTTTAACCTCACTCAATAATGGAAATGTCCTGGGTGCTGTTGGATTCTCTTTGCTCTGTTACTCCCCTTTCTTGTTCTCTATTTATAGCTTCTTCATCCTTACTTTCATGCTGCCAGCTCTGGCAGTGCCAGAACTTGTCAATAAAGAACAGGATTTAGCAAAGTCTCGAGTAGGGGTGTGTGTTCTGGGGTCTTTAGTGCTTGTAATTCCTGTTGAAAGATGTAGACACCAGCCTGAAACTGGTGGTTTGGACTTTTCAGCAAAAGTCTAAATCATCATAGTTTGGCTAGTATATTGGAGTCCTCTTCATCTACACTTTTGAGTTTCTCTGCAAGATCGTATTTCATGATGTGTTACAGTGCTAAATTGCTATTTTTAATGTGTACTATAGATCAACTGAACTTCTATGCAAGTATTTGCCCTTCTTCAGCCTAAATAGCTTGTGAAGATTAAGCTTATATGCAGTTAAAAAATCTGATCAAACTCAGCTGATCAAGTCCAGTACCAAACAATTGATTTAATTTCAATGTGCAAGGGCAGTCTGTCCTTATGGAGAGCAAAGTCCCGCTTGCCCAACATATGTGGGTGGCAATGATGCTAACCTAGTCAGGCAGCTGTCTTAGCCTCTTTTAGCACTAGGAAGGCTTGTGTGTCCAAGGGCTTCCCTTTTCTCCAGCTATATCAGTTGACTTGATAATAAAGATTGTCTCTGACTGCCAGCCTTACTCTGCCAGCATTAGGCAGCAGTAATTCAAAATGTGCAAAGCAGTTCTGTACAAAACAGGTGCTTGAAACTTCTTTGTGCCTGTGCTCTGTTAGACGTAATGGCAGTGGAAGGAAGTGTCATACTTTGCAATGTACAGAAGACTTTCATCTGTATCTCTAGATTGACAAAGTGCAGTTGCCTAGTGCTTACTGTGCTGTTGAGAAATGCTTGAGTTTCTCATTATCATGGGTTCAGTTTGACTAAAATGGCAATGACAACTTCCTCTGCTAATATGGACTGAGCTCCTGCAAACACCAAAGCCTTCTGAAACTTCTGATGTACTAGTTGCTAATAATTGAGCTACAACCCTATTCAGGGCATTGAGTACTGAGTGTAATATAGGCTCCTTATGGAAAGGGTCAGCTCGGATGAGTGACTGGCTGCTAGTGAGGGGTTGGTTCACTGTTCAACAACTTGTCCTGCTTCTAAACTTACTTACATCTTCAAAGATGCTTTTTGCATAGAGATGCGGGTTCCAGAAAGATTATGCTGAGGGTATTCAAGCCTGGCTGTCCCTTAACTGGAACACCCAGTTCTGTGAAGTGTTGGTTGGGCATATGTGACTATGAAAGATTGCACTAGGTGAAATAAGCAGATGCACAGTCATTTACAGTGAACATCCTTGTAAGAGGTAAGGAGAAAATGTCCTAAGATGTGTGGCTGTAATATCCCTAACCTCGCACTCAGATTCAACAGGAGAGTGGGCAATATAGCTCTTCAAACTTTTGAGTTGCTGGTGACTGCTGTAGTGCTCAAAACCCTTTGTTTTAATCAGCATTCTGATAAAACTTGAGTATTCTGCAGTAGTGGTAGCTGTGTGTTGGTCAGGTCCTGTCTCTTTGTATTTGGTTCTTTCGTCCTGAAATGTTGTTCCTTCATTTTTAATGTAATTATGTGAATTAAACTTCTCTAGCATGAACCTTCTGTCTGTCATGGACAGACTGAGAGAATGACTCTGCAAATCTTCTGTACTGCTGTGGAGCAGAGCTGCTTGTTGGGGGTGAGGGGGGGTGTGGGAAGCAAGGTGTTTGAAGACCTCAGAGTGAAGTGGCACCTCAGCTTTTGATCATGTTCAGATATAGGTGTTTTCAGACTGCTTGAATTGGACCAGTCTTGAATAAAGTTCTCTTAGCTGTCTTAACTTGTGCTTTGGTGATAGGTGGTCTTTCCCTGCTGTGCACCTAATCAGGTGTGGAGCATGCTCCCCACTTACTCAGCTGTGCACCCTGTAGCTGAGCACACAGCTGTGATGTGCTTGGACTTTGGGCTGCTCCTCTGATGTGTACATCTGAGCTCTGTGACAGGGTGGGTATGGAGGGGTTGGAGTCTGAGGGTAAATGAGGCTTTAACAGTATGATGCTGTGTTTCAAAATATAGTGACGGAATAGAGCATACTTTTGCATGGGGGTTTAAGTCTGTGGTGCAGTTTGTATTAGCTCACTTAGCTATCTGTGGCTTGACGCTAGTAGCATGTTGCCTCAACTACTGAGCATGGATTGTTGGGTTCTCTGCAATGTGTTTATTCCACTTCTTCCCTTGAGCTTAATGCTGCCCAGTGACACAGGGTTATGTGGTAGGTAAGTGACACCTGCTAATGCTGTAAGGCTGTGGAAAGGTGTTAACCAGTATTTCTTCTCCCTCAGTACTTAAAAGTAAGCTTGACCTCTTCTACAAGGACCTGAAGCTCTGCCCTGTAGTTCCATAAGGCAGTGAGTAGTTAGGGTGTGACAAAGTCCTAAGTCTCTGCAGTAATCGAATAGTTATGTTTACTTAAATAACATAAGCCTTTCTTATAAGATAAGATGCAATGAATTGATTTCTGTGGAGTCATCGGAGCCTTGTCTTGTCTTAATCTTGTACATTAGGTGTGTGCAATAAAAGCTAATACAGTGTTTTTCAATCCATCTGTGTCAAGCAGGAACCAGATAAGGTAACATACAGGGAGTCTATATAGCAGCATTCTTAAATAATACACAAAAGCTGCCTGTGATGCAGTAGAACAATTTTGAGCAGTTAAAATGATATTGTGAAGAAACAAAAGCAGTTCCTGTAGTCAGAAGGAAGTGAAATTCAAGGCTCATTTGTCTGTAAATTGGCCTCCTTGGGGAAGTGAAAGACCCAAAGAGTCTTTGGCCCTGTTGGCTATGGAATTATTCTCAGGTG